ATACTAATAATAATAATATGAATTAAATATAATTAGTATGAATTATAAATAATATAAAATGAGATAATATAAAAATAAAATGAAATAGAATGAAATAATATAAATATAGAATGAAATAATATGAAAATAGTATAAAATAAAATGATAATAGTATAAAATAAAATAAAAATAGAATGAAATATTATAAAAATAAATATAGATAATATAAAATAAATATGAATATGATTTATAAATCAATTATCCAATGAAAATTAATTATGAAAAGTCATGTAATATGCTAAAATTCATATTACAACAATATCATCTATATATTAAATAACTGTTTCATTTGGATCCTGAATTTTAATAGCTAGTTATTGTCTTCAAGCCACAATTTGTATATTGGTTCTAAATTGGATCATGAATTAATTTTTAAAAGAATTATTATCATTTTGAGTTCAGATTTGAGATCAATCATTATATACTTGTTTTCACTATTCATATCAATTATCAGTAATATCTTTGAAATATGCAGGTATTACTATAATTTTTTCTTGTATTGATCATATTATTTGTTTTAGCACAATGATTAAATTCTTCAAAACAGGTAATTGAATTATTAGTTTCATTATCTTGAAAGGTTAGTAATGATAAATTATTATGTTCAGTTTGTCAATTTTATTGTGTAGTCATTGCATTAACTAATGAAGTAATAACTTTAACTATATGTCTAATTGCTTCATTTATCATTTGATCATTTTGTTGTGGTGAAAATGTAGGTTGTTATTGTGTTTGTTGTTGATTTTGCTGAGTTTGCTATTGGACTGGCTGTTATAGTTGTTAAATTTGTTAAGTTTATTGTTTTTTTTGTATTCTTTCTTATGGCTGTTTGCTGTTATAAGTAATGAGTTCAGTGTTAATTAAAGTTAACAATATCTTCACAAAAGTTTTGAATATAATTGATTATTTCAAGTGTGACTTTATCATTGTTATTAAAGATTAGCTATATTAACTATATTATTGCTGTATTATTATCTTGTCTGAATAGTTGCCAAGTGAAGAAAGTTTTTACTAGATTAAATAAATGAGTTTTATCATTGTTTAATAATTCTTTAATTATTAATGCAGTTATAAGTAAATGAAATTATCTTTGTACTTTTACTGCTGTTGATCTTGTTGGATCCAGTTTTTTTTTGTAAATTTTGCTTCACAGAGAGAGCACCAAAAATCTGTCACCAGTCTGTGATTTTTACTAATAAAAATAGATGATAGTGACTGTGTTCACACAAAAATATATAATACAAGTCTTTCTAAAATACAAGTTCCAATATCAAGTGACAAAGATTGTATTTATTATTTTTATAAGTGAAGCTTTTATAAAAAATATAAATAATAATTCAATACGTAATAAATTATTATAACAAAAAAGATAAGAAAACTAATAAGAATAAAATAATTAGAATAATCAGCAGTTTAATCTATTCTTTATTATTGTCAAGACCAAGATAAAATTACAATATGTCTAATTTCTTATATTAAATTACATTTATTTAAATATATATTAAAGTAATATAGATCTACAAGATTTGTAATGATATAAAGAACTAATAAAATTATAAAGTTATAACATGTATAATATCAAGAAATGATAAATATAATAGAAATTAATCTAAGTATTACAAATGAAATTAGTGAAACATTAGTATTATATTAAATGAATTAAATGAATTAATAATCAAAATTAAATAAATTAATAATTAAAAATCAAGAACTAATAAAATATAATAACTAATAATTAATAATAAATAAATAAAATAATTAATGATTTATAATATCACTAAATGTATCAGATAATCAAGAAAAATAGTAAATGATGATAATATAACTAACTTAATAATTATATTAAATATATTAGATATTTTGAATATATTAGATATATTATTAAAAAATTATAAAATTAAAAAATAATAATTCAAAAATTAAAAAATTAAAGAATTAAGAAATTAAAATAAGAACTTATAAATTGTAACAATACTTATAAGAAAAAAAATGACAAAAAATAATAAATATTATTAAATAAATATTAATTTAATTTATTTAATAATATTTTACATTTTTTATTTTTTTTCTTACAAATGTGGATGATTTTTTAAATTTTGTTAATATACAGTTAAATCTATCTATAGTCATCATTCTTGAAAAAGCAAAATTTGGTGACTATAAAGAGAATGTGACTATAAAAAGATTTTTTACTATATTTATATATAAATGAAAAAGCAAAATAGAGTAACTATAAAGAAATATAACTATAAATAGATATAACTATAAAGAAATTTAATTATATTTAAAATTTGATTAATCTTAAAAAATCTTTTGTATTTGTAGAAAAAAACAATTAAAAATGATAAATACTATTAAGCAAATTTGTTATATATTTATTTAATAGTATTTATTATTTTTGGCTATTTTTTTTGCAAGAGTAAAAAATTTTTTAATTCTCTAATATCAAAAATGATAAATACTATTAAATAAATATATAACAAATCTATTTAATAATATTTATTATTTCTTGTTATCTTTTTTCTACAAAAGCAGAAAATTTTTTAATTCAACCTAATTTTATTTTAAAATTTGGTTGAATTAAAAATTTTTCACTCTTGTAAAAAAAAGATAATCAGAAATAATAAATACTAATAAATAGATTATAATAAATCTATTTAATATTATTTATTATTTCTGATTATCTTTTTTTTGCAAGAGCAGAAAATTTTCTAATTTAGTCAAATTTCATTATGTACTAATATTCAAAATTTGATTAATTTTAAAAAATTTTTTGCTCTTGCAAAAAAAAGATAACCAGAAATGATAAATATTATTAAATAAGTTTGCTATATATCTATTTAATAGCATTTATTATTTCTGACTATTTTTTCTGCAAAAATGGAAAATTTTTTAATTTGATCAAATTTTATTTTAATTTCATGTTGATATTTAAAATTTAGCTAATTTTAAAAATTAAATTTCCTAATTTCATGTTGATAAATTTGACCAAATTTTCTATACCAGAATTGAATGGAAAACTCAATGACTTTAATATCTAAGTATTTAAAAGATAAAATTTTTCCAAGAATATATTTTAAGTTCTTATAAAATAATTTACACATATATACTTTTTGTAATTATTTAATTTTGCTTTTCAAGAGTGATAATTATAAAAAGATTTGATTGTAGTTATATCAAGTTGTTAAAATAATTTTGACATATTGATCTAAGCTAAATATAATTCTAATAAAATTTTTAATAAAAAAAATTATAAACTTGAAAACTATTTTTTTTAAAATCTAATTTTTATTAATTTAATAATAGCAAATTGTATATATATTGTAATTTGTTTTATTCCTTTAAAATTTATCATTTTTGTTAAATGAGCCGCATCACACCTATCTTTATTTGAAGATATTATAAATTCACAAGGGGATTCCGAATCCACCAATATCCATTTTCATTATAATATAATCCATTTAATATTATCTGTTAAAGTATATCGATCGATATATAACATCCAAATTAAGAGACGTTTTTTATTGAATTATGAATCGTAGTATTATTATACAATGTAATGCCACTTTTTTTTGTGCTTAATGTAAGACCAGCTTAAGGGAAAAACTTCTAATGCAAAATGGATATAGGATACATATATATAATTGAGAGATTCATTCGTCGTCAATACATAATAATAAATGTCGAAATCGGGAAGGGTGAATGTCAAAAAGATATACAACGAAAAATTCACACAAATCTATCTACATATATAAAGATAACAGAAAAAGAATAGAATCGAATATTTTTTAAAAGAAAAGAGAACAGACAGAGGAAAATCAGAAAATCTTTAATTTTAATTTTTGATATAAAAAGGGAAATGAGAATATTGAGGAATTAGATTCAGCCAAAATTTAAAATACATAATACGACAGGTATAAATGATAATTATAGTGATAATAAACATAATGCATTAAAGATTGGAAAAAGAGAATTTATGTTATATACAAAATGTAAGTATAAGGAATTCTATTTTAATCAATGACCCCACCCATAGATCAATGAAAAAAAAGGAATTTGCTAAAGAATATTTGCGAAAATAAAATAGAATAATGAAAAGAGCATTAAATAGAATAATTCCCTAACATATTGCTTCCCTTATTCATCGTTCTTTCATCCATTCTGTGTAAGACTAACAACACATTATGAATTAATTCGACAAGAGCTTGGGGCTTGAATCGAATACGCAATCTTTTATAGAAAGGAACTTACTATTGCTTGTTTAACGAAAAATGAGGTGAAGATTAAGAAAAGGAAAAATTGCGAAAATATGGAATGGGAAAAAATAATGAATGGATTCATTTTTTATAGAAATGTCTTTATAAAGCATCAATCACCAGGCATTCTTTAGATTTTTTGGAATATCATTATAATCATTACTGTTATTATTGTTATTGTATTGCATTGATGATTGTGAATCACCAGCAAATTCATTAACTAATTGTCCATCAGCACCCAAAGATGCAAATGTGACAGTTTCATTCGAAGTATCTTTTCGAAATCCTAGAGCTAAAAATTGTGGTTGATACTGATTTGAAGACATATCTTGTGGTATTGGTGACAATAAATGTACAGGAGCCAAAGGATAAATTGTCGGGTACTCTAGTCTGATTTGACTATTAGATTCCGTCTGACATCTAGAGTCTATATTGGCTTCTGATATTTTAGAATCCTCGCCATACATCGCGGGCAGTTGTATGGGACTTATTCGACCAATTGAAGAAGTTACATTCGGTTTGTGATATATTGAATTTGGTGCATCCGTTTTTGAGATTGTAGACAGGAAATTTTCAGATTTGAAATGAGATGAACGATGTGAATGATGATTAGGAGGCATTGTATGTAAATAACGAGATGCAAAGGTTGATTGACGGAGAATATGTACTGATTCCTCTTTATTACTGTTATCAAAACAAATGAATGATTTTGTAAATTTCTTTTTATATGAAAAATATATTCAAATAATTGATTGGTTAATTACCTTATTTCATGAGCCAGTACTGTCACGATCACCACATTTACAACAGGCACTATATTTATGTGTATGAGTAAATAAGCATGTAAAATTTAAATGGTTCACACTTACAATATTAATTAGTAGATACACCTACCGATTAATACCCAAAATGTGGCTAGCATATGCGACAAGAATGGTGAATAAGTCAAAAGAAATTCACGGAAACACGCAAATAACAATGATGTTATAGCAAAAAATAAAAGAGTAAGCAGTAAGAGATAAAGCACATATTTTAACTATATTATCGATAAATATTGAGAAATAATTGTTAATAATCACGTTGAATGAATGATAATTGATCCTTTCGAAAACCACCAATCAATAATAATAATAAACCTTTTTTAAGCCATATTCTAACCGATTAACTTTTAAAGGAGTGGCCCTTCCTGCTTCTTTTGTATCCTTTGTGAAATAGAAAACGAATAAATTATCAGATGAATGTATATGTAAATGCCTTAAATTTAAGATCAATTAATTACCTCTATGTGTTTTACCAAAATTGAAGTTAATTGCTTTCCAAAATACAATATACCACAAATCAGTATCCAACAAAAGAAACTCCACGATATATAATGGATTCTGATCAATATTGTTGATAGGTTCTTATTTCCACGATCAAGAAAAAATCCACTCAAAATAGCAAAAGTGTTCAATGATACAATGGGGCCAAGGAGTACAAAAAATCCAAAAGCGTCGACAATGGCAGGACGAGGCACCCAAACTCCTCTTGACTGTTCATAATTTAATTGTCGATTGTACGAATAATGTCGTCGTGGTACTTCATGTGATTTGGGAATTGTATATATCAGGCCAATAAGATAAATAGCCATTCCTGCCAGTGACAGCGTGAAAGTCACATCATGGAAAACTTTAATAAATAAAATATTAATAAAATTCTTTGTATAAATGCTAATTGAACACAGTCTACCCCCCCCAAAATCACACTCTTTTAAATGTTATAGTACCAGTTCCAAGAGTATGTATTAAGAGAAGTATGATTATATTCCAATAGTTATTCTATATATAGTTATACTTCTCTTAATGCATACTTTGGAACTGGTATCATAAATTCATTTAAAAGAGTGAGACTTTAGAAGGGGTAGACTGTATATTGTTACTCACATTCTTTCAACGAATTATATTGAATATAGTCACTTAATAGACAAACTGAGTAAAGTAATCTTCCTGTTTAATCAATAACACCAATTTTATAGTCAAAATATTGATCATGAAAAAATAATTATGTCTCACACATAATTTTGAATCGAGGTACTACTTGCCCGCGACATGTAAGAGATTCATTAATAAAAATCCTTCCAACGGTCTTGGTTTTAAGATTCCCATTTCTTTAAAAGGGTCAGGTGAAATCAGTCGTTGACCTCTTATAGTTTTTCTCCATATTAATAGTCCAATTAGTAACAAGAAGACTACAAAACAAGAGACGACATTCACAAGATACAAGTCCCTTAAAAATTGTTGCTGTGAAGGACATCCTTTATTATTGATAATCATTATGATAAATTAGTTAATTATATGAACGCGTAATATAAAATCTAAATAGCGCGTAAAAAATTCGCGTTTTTTGAACAAAAGCCAGCTTAATAGTGAGATTAACCTTCAATTTGCACCCTCCAATCACAAAAGCACGAATCATTGCCTGCTGAAGTTCCTGGTGGACAAAGAACTTCGACTGGATAAGTTTTGTTATATGTCATATTTGGATGGTAGTTGAATTTTTAAAACAGCTTCGTTACAGCGATAATGATGTTGATAATTTAGTCAATTTAAGAAATAGAAAGAAAGTTGAGTGCTAGCTTGAATTTTCAAGATTAATATAATTAATCAGTAAAGGAGATTGTAAAACTCAATGCACGTAAATAAATTTTCGAAGAACGGGAGGGAGTAAAGAGAATAATTGAAGGGGCAAGGAAACAATAATGGCAGGGGCTAATTTAAAATCATAATTTTTGCGTTCTAATGAAATCGCGAAGCATCTTTATATTTTTCATGTTGATCTTTATCTCCAAAGAATTCATTCTCGGCGCTCATTACCGAGGGTTAGTCTGATGATGATGTACGCGGTAAATGCGCAACACATTTTCAAATCTCTGTCCAGCTCGCTTTTCTTGATGATTTGATTTGTCAAATGTCGATAATTATCGGAGACAATTTATATTGTTCTCAAGTGCATTAGATTTAAAAAATTGTTTTTTTTTTCATTGATGCGTGACGGTTTGTGACACAGTTTCACATGTTTATTTAGCCATATTCAAAAAAATAAAAGATGATCTAAAGTTTATTTGTTTGTTATTTTTTTAGAATTAATTATTCCCTACAAAGTAGTTTTACTTATTTTGGAATGAAGGGATAAAGTACGAATAACAATGACTTTCTTCCTATGAACAATGACTACTAATTAGCATTAACAATGGTGTCATTTTAATCACCATTTCTAATTTTGCAAGATTAAAAATATTGGGAATATATACCGATACTGGTAAATTTGGCTGGAAATCGATACCTGCAACACATAAAACATGCACGCATACACATAGCATTACTTTAAGTGCAATCTATTATTGTGCATACGACCAATAATAGTCAATCTATTTCAACGTGTCAATCTATTTTCACTCCCTCACACATGAATAACTGCCTATTCGCCAGTATGATCGGAATTTAACCTGTTTAAGCCTGCTCCCGGATTTAAGCACCACGATTTTTCTTAGAACCAGCGAATACAGTAATTATATGATATATATTATTTGTATTTGGAGATGTTTAAACCCGGTATCCATGTTATTATTAAAAAATCTATTATCAAAAACAAGAGTGAAAAACCAAAATGTTGTCAATGAAGATTTATATGTTTCAGATTTGATTTTTTTACAATTAATCAAAATTGATACTTTATTATTAATGGTTTCTTAGTGTTAAATTGGAACAAATAGCTAAATGATGATTAATATTAGTTTTCTTTATCTTTTTATAAGATTGCTATTTGTAATTTTAATTTAACACTTTTGTTTTATTTAAATTATTAATTTAATTTTTAATAATTTAAGTCTGAAAATAAGCAAATTTCAAAATAAGCAATATTTTTTTCTAATTCAAAATTCATAAAATAACTAGTTTGAAAATAAGTTATATTTTCTTATTTTTAGATTTGAAATTCATGCAAAAGATTAATATTGCTATTATTTCTAATTTTTTCATATGAAAATATTTAGAAATTATAAATACTGATTGTATTCATGATAGATTTTAATAAAAAAGATATATAAATGATAATAATGAATTAATTGATAAAAATATAAATAAAAATCAAATATTAGATAAATTTAAATAATAATAAAAGCAAAACTAAAACAAAATATATGTTATAAGTTGAAAACAAAAAATAACAAACAATAAGATAAGACAAGAAAAAACAAAAAAAAACAAAAAAAAACAAATCAAGACAAAATCTTCTTAGTTTATTTCATATTAATATTATATTATATATATAGTCACCATTCTTGAAAAAGCAAAATTTGGTAACTATAGAGAAAATGTGATTATAAAGAGATTTTTTTTTTACTATATTTATATGTAAATAAGAAAGCAAAATAGTGTGATTATAGAGAGGTATGATTATAAATGGATATAATTATAGAGAGATTTATTTATTCTTGTATTTTTCACTCTAAAATTTATATTTTTGTTATTGGTTTATCTTATTTATATCTCTATTATACTTATTTATAATTAAGTTTATACTATCACTTTTTTTCTTTATAACAATTTTTTTACTTAAATACTTTTTTCTTGTTTTTATTCACTAGAATTATAATTAATTTTCTTTTATATTTTCTTTTTAATAAATTTGTATAATTTCTTATTTGTTTATTTTTTTGTATTATTAGTATTATTTGTAAATTGTGATATAATATAAAATAATTATTAATTATATAAATTGTAAAAAAATTAAAAATATATAAAAGAAAAATTTTTTATGCTCTAATTCTCTAATTTAATAAAAATAGCAAAGTTCTTACTTATAATAATTTATTTGTAAATACTATTATAATAATTTTTGAAGATTAGTTAATTAAAAAACTTTTCAAAAATAGTAGAAAATATAAAAATAATAGAAAAATATTAAATTAATAAAAATAGTTTATTTATTTAGTTATTGCTATGGTTACTTTAAATGAAGGGTTTCTTCACTATTAGTAAAAGAATCATATGAGTTGAGAGTAAGGTTGCTTGCTGAAATCCCTTAGTGACTATCTAAATTCTGTCAAAATTATAATAAACTATTAGTAAATAATCCGTCGAAATTCTGACAAATTTTGAAACCCGTCGTAATCAAAATTATGTCAAAATTCTAATTAATAATTAGTGTGTAACCTGTCGAAATTATGACGATATTTTTCTGAAAGGATTTA